ATATGCAACTTACCATGATTTGATGTTTGTATATAAAGGGTTGGGCCACTGGCGGGAAACGGGGTAAAGTCAGTCGTGAATGGGTATAGACCAGACTAAACTGTGCACAAGGTGCATATTGGGAGCTGAATTGACCTGAACAGTCTGCATAATGCAGCATTACAGGACTGGTAATAGACAGACGCTGTACAGATACGAGCCATCCGCATCGGTCTGTGCATTTGGTAAAGTTTTCATTTTTAAAAATTTTGAGGTGAAGACCTCCCATACAAAGTGTCATAGTGTCCGATGGGGGGTCACCCACAGAAAGTAACGCCATCAGATGATGCGGTGCTGGCAGCTCGAGGTACGTATACTCAAATCAAGTGAAAAGATCAGCTGACAAAAGAGTCAGATGGATTAGGCACAGTGTCAGATGAGCAAGCAATACCTTGTGCGGGACGTTCGCGCAAGCAATCATCCTGATTTCTTAGACTGCATATATTCTGCTCAAAGCTTTTTATTTAAGTTACACGAAGCACAACAATGCAGTTTACCAGCTAATTGTCCGTTCTACGTCCCTTTCCTCTACTAGCCGGATCCAGTGGTGTGAGAGGCGTGACAGGCGTTCCAGGCGTCGACGGAGCTCCAGTCGACGTGTCTGCAGCTCGACGCACTCTGATATTTCTACCAGTGTCGACCGGAACCAACTTGCCGTTCATCCACTCTCGGTGCCAGATATCCCAGCATGTCATAGCTACTCCGCGTATCTGTCGGCGCGGTTTCATACACAGGAACATTGGCCCCGTGCTGTTGCATTCTTGACAAAAGAACGATGTTGTTGTCGCGCGTTTGTCCGCAACACGGAGAAGCGAGCAGACTTTGCACGCGCGCTGTCGGCGCTTCGGCTGCGTCGTCGTATTGCGCCACTCATCAAGCTGGCGGACAGCGTGAGTAGTTTGCAGACCTCCAGATCCTGGAACGGAAGCGCCTTGTGAGGGTTCGTGTGTACCAAACGTGTTGCCTTCATACATGTCGGACGCGTGCAGCTGTGACAGCGGCAAATGCAGCTTCATCATGTACTTCACATGCGTCAATGGGCGAGACGACTTCTGCTTGTAGTAGGCTTTGTGGACTATGTAGCCATTCACAATTGCTAAATCAATTAATCCCAACACCAGCGACTTGTAGTATTTTTTGAACCGCACGGCCCGTTGAATAGAGTACCGCTGCAACGTAACTGGTCGTGGACATCCACGCCCCCCATGAAGGCGTGGTAGTCCTTCACGACGCGTGGGCACGGAACTTCGACTTTATCTGCGAATTCTTGGCGAGCAACACGATCCATCTCAAGACTCCCGCCAGTGCACAGGAAGTGAGCCGGCCGCGCGTCCCACCAGCTAACAGCAGTCATGTTTGGCACTAACTTTGATCTTGAAACTTTGAAAGATCCGAGAGCAATAGTAGCAGGTCTAGACTTCTTTTTTCAACGACTCCTTTGCAATATTTCAACCGGTTCGTCATAATAGTCCCAACACAGTAGAATCCCATGAGCAGCAATTGAATTGCCAATGCCACCGACGTATAGAACCGATCCACTACAACAAGTCTCATCCCATTCATCCGAGAATCTGGCCCAAACACAGCGAGAAGATTGCGGACTACTGCAGCAGGCCCTGACTTCATATCTGTCTTGTGTGCGTCACTGGAGTGCTGTTTCTTACCGCAGTAAACCTCGAACCTGCATAAATGCAGCATACACATAGCAAAATATCCAGCTTTAGTCTGCATTATTCAGCATAAGAAAAACTTAGAGCCAAAAAAAATACCTGATGCAGTAAGCGGTCACCGCACTGCACAACATAAAGAGCTTCGTGCCCCACTTGTGGGGTTTGTCTTTCATGTAGACACGCATCTTGTTGAACGACGAGCGGCTAGGAAGCATCGCTTCATCAAAAGCCAAGTGTGCTGGAGCCACATACCCTCGCTCAAATGTCCTTTGTAGAACTTCCACAACTTTGCGAATCTTCCATGCTCTATCTGTGACCGCCCTTGGATCAGAGTTTGGATTGAAATGTAGGTTTCAAGAAATCTCCATAAATATATCGCGACGCAGCACGGATCCAAACGCTCCACGTGAAATACCGCCTTCATCAGTAGTTTTCCAATGGTTTGCAAGTTTTTCGCGGTTGGGGGCAATCGTGCGTGCAATTAGGAGGCCGATAAAGCGACAAAGCTCGTGAGGTTGTATCGGTTTCGCGCCCTCTAGCTCTGTCTGGATGTCTCGCTTGGTCTTCTTTGGTAGTTGAGGATTGAGCCGGCACTTGCTACGGTAGCGTTTGTACCGTTCATCGACACGAAGGGGTGCCATTTCACGCCCATACTCGTTTGAGCACACCGCAATGTGCTGCCACAGCACTACTGGTAGAAAGAAAAAGAAAAGCGCAAGCGGAGAGCCAGCATTTGCGCAGTGCATCAGCTGTGGGGCCCGAATACCCTTGCCGTAGCCCAGGGTAGCTTCGTGTGTTGTCCACAGGCTCGTACGGCGTGTTCATGTAGGCAAACGTATCTGGTTCCTCCACATCTTCCCAACCAGTCGCAGCCATTTCACGTAGAACATCGTTCTTGAGATTTAAAGCTAACACTGCGTCCTCTCCTCCAAAACTATCCAGGAATCGCTCCGCGAACAGAACTTCAGCGGCAATCTCAGTCTCAGAAGCTTTACTTCTGCTTATATCAGGTGGAATGTACGGTTCAGCGCATTCGTTATCATCGCCACTGTCTTCATCCCAAACTAAATCGTCTTTTGCAGCATCATCACCAGATTCCATGGCAGCATACTCGGCAGCGTCGTCTCCATCACACACCGTATTGAGCGAGTCGTCTTTGTCAACAAGTAGCTCACTGCTCACTCCTCCATCTTCATCTTCATCGTCAACTCCATCTCCAACACTACCATCTATAATGCAACGAGCCATATACAAATCAGTGAAATGCACCACAAGATGCAGTACTATATGCAGCACAAGATGCAGCATAATATAAAACGTACCAGGCTGGCAATCGCTTCCTTCCTCGACCGATTCCACCGACACATCGTCCACAGCCTCCCCGGCTTCAAACTCGGAGTCGTCGCCGAAGTTGTCCAGACTACCAACGCTGACATGGGGTGACGAAGCAATTAGTGTCGTGTGTGGCGGAGGTGTAGCCGCCATAAGACTCTCAGTATCAGCCAATGAGCGCCTCGTAGGCCGCGAAGACCGTCGCCCAGCTCCAGGACTAGACGGTGGGGTTGTTGGGGCACTTGCAGGGGCATTTGGAGGTGCACTTCGAGGCGGTGAAAGCGTTTGAGATGGCTGCGAAGGAAGTGGCACGCTCTCAGCTTCGTTGTGACCACTTGTCCCTTCAAATAGGTGTCCGTAGGTTTCGCGAGCGACTTGAGCAGCGCGCTCTAGCTCAGCATCACCACGGGTAGGTAGACTGGATGTTCGCGCTCGAGTACGTAGCTCTGTGTACGCAAACATGTAACGTTAGCTACCAATTGATAATAACATCACTAAAGTACCTTACCGTTCGCATAATACTCCAACACTGCTTTTTATCCCAGGAAAACGTCGTCTCCTTCGATTCCGTCGGGGCTTCATCCGGGATGGACGTAGCGATATCTGTCGTCAAGGCCACGGCTTGACGGACGCTTGTTAGTCCAGCCTTGGGCTCTCAGCTCACGCCACACCGACCGCCAGGAAAGGTCACTCGACGTCACGTCGACGTCACGAACTTGTTTGTGTCGGGCTCGCACCATCTTGGGTCTCTACTTGTGTCCTAGGCGCGCAAAATCTCGAATGAAAAAAATATCCCCCCGTCGGCGAGTGGCTGTCAGCCGTTACCTGTCAAATTTGCTGATGAGAAAGTCGCTCATATTTTAGAAAATTTGTCTTAATTTTCTAAAATATGAGCGACTTTCTCTTGCCAGAAGACTGATCGGGTTTTGGTTATGTAACAGAAAAAGATCATTTTGCCAAGATCGCTTATCTTAAAGTTTATATACCCGCTGGCGAGGGAGAATACGCTCAATACAAATTTCAAGTCTAAATTCCTCTTATGTAGCATAATGCAGTTTATGAAAAAAAATAAACTGCATTATGCAGCACGTCGGGTTGGAGGGGTTAACACGGCTTTGACAGAGCATTTCTCGCTATAAGAACTAGATCGTCTTCGACTTAGCTGGGAATACCAGTGTTTTTCACGTAGCATTTCCTATTGTTTTATTAGTGTTCCAAGCCAGAGGCGAATAGATACGAGCAAAAAACATCTCTATAACGCCATTGAGTAAAGTATAAATGGATTACGTTATTCAATGATGGGTAAACATGTATTTCAAGTACTGGCATTGATTTATACTATACGCAATGACATACTGCTAGCTTTTGCAATACTGCAATACTGCTGGAGCGCACGATACTGTAATTAGTGCTGGAGTCCTCACACCAAACGTAACCTCTAACCGCCCTCGGGCGCTGAAGTGGAGTGTCTGCACTCGATCCGAAAGTGCTTACCCCCCCCCCTCAACTTCGAGAAGTCGCTGGTTTTGAAGCATGACAGGCATGCTGACATGGTTGCGCAGGCTCTGCTAGGTATTCCAATCAATATTGCTAGCTCGGTGAGTATTGCAGTTCTTACTGCTACGTGATGGCTTATTAATACTCAAATACATATTACATAGTGTTGTCTTCTTTGCAATGCCCTCCCGTAAGAATACCCACCACTGCCATTATTAATAAAAAAAAATAAAAAAAAATAGAGGCATTGAAAAGTGGTTGGTTCAATTTCACATGCTAATAAAATCTCTTCAAATTGCAAAAACGAAAACCCAAAGAGAAAATCAGTACCGGTATGGGCAGTACAAATACTTCAGGTTTTTTGGTACCAACGACCTAACTAACGCTAACAAACTACTACTAACATCGACCAGCAACTACCGGTACCTAACTTACGTTAACATTTCTACATCGACCAAATCTTCAGAATGCTGGAGCAGCACCTGGAAGTTGCACTGGTATTCGGTGCGCTGTCACTTGACGTGTGATGAACGCAGCGAATCTCTCGATGCCGACGGAAGATTGCGGCATCATAAAGTGTGGAAACAGTGTGAACACATGCGGCATGTGCTCGTTCATGTCCAATTCGACTTGAACACCATCCGATCTGGCGTTCTGGGCCAAGAGCATTGACTGTTGGTGTAGAATGTCGAATTCTGCTGCCTGGATGAATAAGGGCGGCAATCCACGCAGATCTGTCTGCAGCATGGCACCTTCACACCACGAAGCCTGTGGGGTTTCCTGGACGCAGAAGTCTCGAATCGCGTCCAGCATGGACTTGGAGATGAAGCAGTGATCGGATACAGCCACGTCGGCCGACAGGTCTGCATACGGACAGTTGCATAGCGCCGCTAGAGGCATCTCTCGTTGAGCTTGACGAAGTCTCAGCAGAGTGGCAAGAACCAAGCCGCCACCGGCGCTGTCACCAGCTAGGATGATGTTCTCTGGTGAGATCTTCTCGTGGTTGACGAGGTAGTCGAACATGACCATGGCGTCATCCAGAGGTGTGGGGAAACAGACCTCGGGTAGTTTACGGTAGTTGGCCAGCAAGATCTGGACGCTCATTGAAGGGTCGGTGCCACCCCAAGCAGCTGGAAGTTGGCTTCGCACCTGAGTTAGTAAGCGACTGGCGAACTCCACGAAGAAACGAGGACTGAAGAGGGCGTAGCCTCCTCCATGGTAGTATAGCACTACGATCCGTCTCTCATCCTCGCTCCCACCTTTAGAACGTAGCCACAAGTGCTCGAGTCCGTTGTATCGGATGCTCTCGAGTGTGTGGCCGTGACGCCAACAGGCCAAAGCTCCTAGTAGCCGTCCGATGAGTTCGAAGTTGCGGCGGAACGCCAATGCGTTAGATAACTTCAGGATGTGGCTGCCGTTGCGTTGACCCGCGGCGAACGCGATGGCCTGGAACCACTCGTACCATAGCGTCCACTCTGGGAACTTGGGGTGTAGCCCCCGCTTGATGAACTGCACGACGGCTGCATTGGCCGCTGCACCGACATGAGCTGTCAAGGTGCAGACGTTCCCGAACGATAGACAGAAGGGACGAAGTAGTTCATGAACGCTGAGGAGCAGCACGAGTTTGAACAGGATGAAGACGTGGCTGAGTCCGAGCCATTGCAAGTGAGTCGCATTGATCCATAACGAGATGGAAGCGACAGTGAGGAAGACGGGGAGAGTGTATGCGGCTCCGTAGCCCGATGCCCGACCGCTAGTAAATTCTTGAACGTGCTTGCGGGCTTTCTTCATTGTCAGAGTTGGGTTCAATTAAGTCTTGAGCACAATGAAGCGAACCAAAGAGTGAGCAGAAGTAGAACGGTTAGCGATCGCACTGCGATTCGCAGCGCTGAAGGGACATGTGATCGTTTCCCTCTGATGGTGAGGCCAGCACGTCGAAGTGGCAGAGCGACGCCTCATCCTGAATCCGCTTCTTTTAGAGCAACGAGGACCGTTCGATGGGGCTCCGATAAGTTGCTCCATGCAGAGTTCGATAACTTTCCAGCGACGAGTGGGAGGATAGGACAGCTGCGACCATAGTTGACTGCTCCAAGTTGAGTTGCGCGCACAGTAGCCGGTCGATTCTGTCGTCGTGCTTTATTTATATGTAGCTTGGCTTCTACAGAAGCGCGGCAGGTTCTAGATTATGAACTTGAGCTACGAAGCAGACATCAGTGGGATGCGGATGGAGATGACGGCAAGTCGATGTTTGCACGACGTAGGACACGAAAGCGCAATACGCAAAGGTGGCACTATTCGATGCAATTGATGACCCTAGTTTCGAGTGTTTTGATTCAGCTTCTGTAGTTGCCCATTAGAAGTCATTGTAATCCTAGCTACCACGGTTGCTCTTTGGCGACGTCGAGGTTGTTCGCTTAAGCTCTTGAGGGAGGTAGGCGGTGAAAAAGCATTGACTTGGTACAAGATGACAAAAAATGCGAGTTTAGGGCTGGAGCTGGTGCTTCTTCTTGGGCTTATTGGAACGAGTTCAACTAGGAACGCAGTAAAAGAAATGATGAATTCAGGAGGCGCAAAACACTTGTGGTCGTCTTCAGATGCGGATATCTCTGAATCTAGGTAAACGTCAATGTACTCTACGTGGTATCGCTGTAACGAGAACTTATCGCCTCAATGAAGGTAGCCAATGGTGTCTGGAGACAATGAAGTCAACTAGAAGAGACGGCGATTGAGTTTCTTGCGCGCGCTGGAGCGAGTCACCGGCTTGTCGTAGGTTTTGGCAGTTGCTGCAGCCGTTGCAAGTAAGTTGTGGTGTCTGGGAGGACGACAGGCTTGCGACTTGCGAGGAGTTGTCGCTGCATTGCGGGAAGGCTGGAGCTGAAGGTCACGCTTCGCTGCCGCCTGTGCCTCCTTCAACAGATCACAAAACGAAATCGACGGTACTGGCGCCGGTGCTTCTTGCACGTCGGGTTTCGTCGACGAGGCTGGGAGATCTACGATCACACTCAAGACGGACGGAGTGAGTTGGAGGGGCGATCTACGATGGTCGTGGGGGGATTGGGCGCCTAGTAGAACGTCCACGTTGTCGAAGAAGTTGTCGCTGTCAACCTCCAGCTCAAGATCAGACAAGTGGCCATCATTTGATGACAGGAAGGTGGAGATCCACTCGTAGCAGTCGTCATCGCTGGGCTGTCCACGCCAGCTCATCCTTCGTACGTACTGAGGGCGCGAGATGTCGGTGACTGCGCGCTGGATAAGGGAAAGCTTGACTTGACTAGGTTACTACACTACTGCTAGTCGGAAAGGCCACCCTGAAAAACTTAGAAAGGATGATCTTGTTTGAGAAAGTGTCATGGAGAACTGGGTATCGGACCAACGCGTCTAGTCCAGGAGTCTGTAAGAGTCTGTAAGAGCAGCCTACTCGTCGTCCTCCTCTTCGACTTCGTCCTGTTCCCCGCCGATGTCCTCAATTTGCTCGGGTGGTTGGGTCAGGCGCTTAAACCACATCTTCTCGTGCATCGTAGTGAACTCCTGCACGTCGAATTCATCCTCTAAAGCCCCGTAGCTATCCGCCGTCTCCAGCCACGTCCGACATTGCTGCAAACAAATTGCGTCAGTACATTCTGCGGTAGCTATTTCATTGCATCCAACACATCACCGTACTCACCTCTTCATCTTCGAACGCAGGCGAGGCATACAGACATGCCAGAAAATACCCACCGAGCTTGTCGTGGAAGTGGTGAGCTGATCGTAGCACCTCCACTGCGTGAGTGAAGCGTGCGTCACCGGTCGATTTCTTCTTCTTCTGCTCCTTCAGCGTCTTCGTCTGGCTTTCGTCCAGCGTCGGGAAGGCTCGCACAAACGCAGCCAGTCCCTTACCCAGTGTGTTGAGCAGATGAGGCACTCGTTCATCGATGTCCTCTTCTTCCGGCTCCTCCTGGTCATTTGTGTCCTTCCGCTTGCAGATCTCATGACACTCTTGCAGATCGAACCCAGCTTCGGCCAGCAAACTCTTGAACTTCTCTTCCAGATCATAAAACAGCGTCTTCCACTCCTCAATACTGACCTTCCCTCCCAGACTAGCACTCGCCGAGCATCTCGCAGCCAGGTAGTTGGTCATCTCCATCAGCGCCTCGGCACTCCCGGGACTCAACGCTGCGCACAATAAGCCCACGTTAGATCGAAGGCCTCTCTCTTTTACAAACGAGAAGCCACGTACAGATCGCTTCCTTGTACAGACCAAGGGTACGACGGAAGTCCTCGACACTGCTCAAGTCCTCCAGCAGACCTCGCACTACAGCTTCCAGTAGCTTCGCCTCCGCATAGTCCTCGGTCGTCACCTTGTCGTCCTCTTCGTCCTCTTCGCTGTCTTCTTCCTCCTCAACCTTCTCTTCGTCCATCGAATTCTTCTTGTAGATCTCTTCCAGCTTCTCACACACGGCCAGTGCTCTGTTATAGTAATCCTGCTTAGCTTTATCGTCGTCTTCCTCCAAGAACGCGACTAAGTCTCCACCTTCCTTTAAGGCCTTTGCAAACTGGAATTTCGTCTCGAACGTCGTCCCTCCATCCACCTCAACCGCTCGCTGGAACTTAGAAAGTGCCTGGTCCAGCACTTCTCGACTCTGCATCTCTGTGGCTACAGTAAGCAGCGATGAGCCCCAGAGAGAGAAGCCCACAGGTCCCAGAGCTGCGTCTGCGGCGTCTTCGTCCGCCTCGTCCTGGCTCAGCTGCAGCATCTGCTGGAACTTGTCCGCGGCAGCGTCCGCCAGCGTCGGGTCCTCGTTTAACGAGGCCAAACGGGCAAGCGCTGTGCCCCATAGGAAATAGGCGTCCAGCTGCTTAGAAACGGGCAGTTTGTCGTTGTCTTCTAGCAGTTTCTTGACGCGCTTGCCGATCTGCCAGGTCTCTGATTTGGACAAACCGGAATTACATTAAAAAAAAATGAAAACTGCGGAACCCGTTTTAGTTTTTTTACGCACGTTTTTGAGACGTTTCCTCCTCTTGCAGCAATTCGTTGATGCTGGACAGCTCGGCATCTACTGCTGATAGATCGGTGGTCTCGTTGCTGCTTTGAACAGTGGCTGAGCGCTTGCTAGGGACAGCGGCATCGCCGCTAGAAGAGCGTCGTCGCTTGCGGTCGGTAGTTGCCATCGGTTGATTGGAAATGGCGTGGCAGACATAGTTTTTGTAATGATAAATAAAATGGATTGTGATGTTGAAGTCACAGTATTTTATGATTTCTTAAAAATATTTCAGAGCTAGTTGGTTTGTAATGTAGGATTTCACGTGTTCAATGCTTTGTGTTTGATGTATGCACTGTACCCGTGCCATTAGTGGCGGTAGTGACTGGTTTGGTAGCAAAATTTATTTTCTCCTAATTTGAAGTGGGCACAACACTTCTCACAGATACAGTAGTTTTCTTTGCGTGTGTTTAGTGCGATCGAATTGACAGGTGTGCCGTTGGCTAGCTTCGTGCTCGATGCATATTTTACCTGCATAAATCTGGAGAACGCCTTACTTTTCGCTGTAACGACAAGAAGATTCCGATATAAACTTATTAGCGTAGCATAGCTTTATACGTTTTGACTACGAAACAAGAATATGATCAGCTTCAAGGCTAAAATAGAGCTATCAAAGATATATAGGGCCTTCGAAAAGCTACTTAGAAGACTCGCATTTAAGTTTAATCGCGACGAATTGTACCTAAAATGCTTTTCTTATATATAAATAGAATTGTACCCACAGGGTGCCTCCCAAAACCCGTATAAAACGGTTTAATCTGTTTAATCAGTAGCTTAAAATAAATTAGGGACTGTTTCATTTGGGAATATCTAGAATAAAACTAGCATGAGATATTCTTACCCTAGCCGCCGGGCTAAACCCGTGAACACTATTGGTTAAGAAGTTATTCTTGGCGTAAAGTTATTCTGACCTTCAGAGTCAGAATAAACTTAGTCCTCGAGATTATCCTGTGTAAGGTGATATTCAGTGGTTGGTCACAACGTAGACACTTTCGCTATTTGACATCAGTCATGGAGCACGAGCTAGCTGTTGGTGTCGCATGTGTCTTGCTGTGTGCATTCGGCCTACTACTCAATGTGGATGGTAGAAGCGTGCGAGCTGACAACACGGACATCTACACGGTAAGAACCAATTTCTTTAGACAAAATGATGACCAGCGGCAAGACGAAGCCAGCTTTAGAAGTGCTTTCCGCGTAGGGCGTGGGTGCTTCGACGCTATTGTGGCATTCGTCGAATCTAAATGGTCTATATATTACAAAGGCAATCATAACTCTGTCGGGAAGAATCGGAAGGTTTTCCGAAGGGAGAAGGTAGCTCTAGTGATGTTCTATCTCGGATCGCGCGGAGGTATGAAGGATGCGTGCCAAACATTTGGTGTCAGCAAGTCTACAGGTTCACGAGCACTAACTCAAATCGTACACATTTTCTTCAGTGAGCGCGAGCGCTTTATATTTTACCCAAGACATGCATGTGAGTGGTCTGAGGTAGCTTCTGGATTTGAAGGCGTATGCGGAATCGAAGGTGTTGCCGGGACCATTGACGGAACGCTAATCAAGCGGTCTCGCCCAGCAGCATTTTGGGGTTGGTATTGTAGGAAAGGGTTTCCCGCCTATAACGTAATGGCATTTGTTGATGCCCATCAGCGATTCATGGCGTTTTCGGTCCGCCCAGGAAGCTGCAACGATCAGTCTGTGTGGAAACGCAGCCTCATGGGTACATACGTGAAGCAACGACTACCGTTCGGTATGCACTTCACAGGAGATGCTGGGTACGCTTTAAGGTCGTACATGCTAACGCCCTTCGCACACAGCCAGCGAGATAATCCTGTAATTAACAAGTTCAACAAAGCGCACTCAAGAACACGCATCCCGGTAGAAATGGCGTTTGGGACCCTTAAAGGCCGTTTCCAGATACTACGAAGAGAACTAGACATGAACAGCGATGTCGAAGATGGGAAAGTGATTGCAAGCTGCTTCGTGCTACATAATTTTTCGCTTACATACGAGCGCAACACTTTAGAGGAGCTGGCTACAGTTATCCGAGGCGATTACAACAACAGCATGCATGACGAAATGCTTCTACACAACGAAAACAGTGGCGGCGACCTGGAAGTGTTTCAGGTCGAGGAGGACGCAGAGGAGGAATTGCTGGAAGGACAAAGGAAACGCAATAACATCGTTAGCGAGTTAGTAGAGTCAGTGAGCGTTTAATATCATAAAAACAACTTACATTTGCGTGAGCTGTGATGTAGTACTTCCTAGTACCGCTTTCGTCACGGCGGCGGCAATATTGTCAGCAACAGCGTTGAATTTGGCCTCCATTTCCACCACACGACCACTAACTTGAAGAATATCATTGCGCATCGATGCTAAGTCTGCCTGGACCGACGTAACTTCTGTTCGCTCTTGTCCCGAAGGTTTGCCCACTATATGGCTCACCAGAGTTGACATCGATGATGCCAATGTTGATAGGACCGCATCCTTTTTTGTCTTCTTGGATGGGGTCGCTTTAGCCGGAGAGAACACGGAGCGTCTTTTACGGGACCCTTCCACGGAAGTAGCAGCTCCGCGATCGTGTCCAACGCCGGAGCTCCCTTGGTCTTCGTCCTCGCTATCAGACTCGGCAGCGCTTTCCTCGACTGCTGCGCCGACTGCTGTTCGGGTACAAACCGTCGTAAGGTGCCTCTCACTGTCGGCTATAGCGGTGCCGTTCAAACCACTGTACGGCCCCAAACATTCAAGCAGTATTTCCCAATACGCAGGGTAAGATATAGGGTCTTCCGTATTATCACCAGTCCTGGTATCTTCCTTCACAAGCTTCTACAACAGCAAAAAAGTCAATGAGATTTAGTAGTTTGAAGTTAATACTCGTTTTGTTAACGTACTTTATATGTGCGGTGAGTGTCTTCAGTCGCCCACGACACGATTTCCAGTCCCTTTTCTAGCCGCCACCGCCGTCCAATTGTTCTTTTCGTCGTCTTTATTGCCCTGCTTAAGAAAGCCTGCAAAGAGGTCCTCTGTCTGGAACCGAAGTCGCAGCAGCTCAACTGTCTGTCGCGTAATAGCTAACTTAGGCAACGCTCATGTTGCTGCGTAAATATTAAAAGAAGACGTACCTCGTCTGTTGTCCAGTTGCTAGCGCGCTGCTTGCGTTGTCGGGAAGGTTGAAAATCGAGCAGACTAGTCATACCTCAGCCTAGTAAGCACAGCAGTCAGTCCCACGCTGGACGAGATCGTTTCGCAGCATGACACCGAAGCAAGCTGCATCATTACCCACCTTTTCTTTGTAAAACCGATGTCAGCAAGGCCCCCTGCTGGATGCCGAGCGGCAGTGTCTTGTGTCCTGCACTCAAGGCCCAGGAGAGGAGAGACAACAGATCAGCAACATCTTAGTATTAGCAGCACTCGAATATTCTTCCTGTAGTGACGACGAACCTGCACGCGGCGAAGAAGTTGTTTGGCTGTCCGTCCACAAACGTCGCCCGTTCAATTGACGGCTTGGGTTTGATGAGTGGTTGGACTGTGACTTTTCTTCTCTTGAAACTGATATCGTGCTGCAAGGTGTTAAAGTTAATCCGTGCACTGTTTCGTTTGGATGTCATTTTCTGGTCTACGCTATTCAAAAGTTAATCTTAAAAGAAACAGGGCCTTACAGACCGGTTTAATGCGCACCAAAACGGTTGCTGGTACAAGACTTTTGAGCATAGTGAAGAACAGTCATATGTCACGTTGATTGTTAAAAAGTAGTTTATAATTGTTGTAACTGGTCAACTCAACTGATGACGCAAAAAGGAGAAATCACGGTAGTGCCTTTGATGACGCTAGATAGGTACCCACTCCCTCTGGATCGCGCAGATAAAACATTTATTTATTCTTTGATTTTCCTGGAAACTAACAGGTTAACAGCCGCAAGACTCGACTATCCTTTTACCATGTCTTCAAACGATGATTCAGACTTTGAACAAGTGGAAGATGAGCCTGCGCCAGCGACTAAAAGTGGAGCAGTGGGGACACGCGCGACAAGAACGAAGATAGACCTCAAATTGCTCACTATTGAGCCCTTTGATGGATCGACCAAGGATGGATTCATAGACCCTGGCGCTTATGATTGGTTGGAGCGACTCAAAGTACAGATACACCTGGCAGAGACACTCACGGAGTGAAAGTGGCCGGAAACGGTGAAGTGCGGTGTTCTTGCCCTCCCGACTCACGAGTGAAGCTGGTACCTGGTACTACCGCAACAGCTCTAACCATCCGAAGGACTCTTTCTGTGACCTCGCGAACAAGTTCATGGAGAACTTCCGGTGCAAGCTCCCGGTGCAGACGATTGCAGTCACTCTGGCGAACACACGCAAATTTCCCCAGGAAACATATGCTACCTATGCTCACCGACTCCCCCAGATTGCAGCAGGGCTAAATCGTGGCAAAGTCAACTCGTAATCTGAGCAGCAGGCGCTGAGTACTTTCATCAACCATGCTTACCCTCGCTTCCGCGTTGATCTGGAAGCCAAACTTGACCAAGAAGCAGAGGACGCTACCGGAGAACTTGAACGCGCAGTGGTGATACTGACCAAACTAGCCAAAAGTGATGGAAAAATTAACCCCAACAAGCGATGCAGCGAAGATTTTAGCCGAGATGGCAGTGACAAGAAACCCCAAATTAGTGGAAGCGCTTCAGCTACTACTGCCAAGGACCCTAGGCCCCGTTGGGACTTCTCAGACGCTTTGTGCAAGACATGCAATGAACGAGGTCACACGACAAACTACCACGATCGTCATGTCGCCCAGCAAGCCCGTAGCCGTGAAGTTCAAGGCGAACAAAACGAGAACCATGATTGAAGACATGGGGTGTTGACGGACACCGAGTTATTTCCGTTTGACCCTGGAACTCAAACCTTTCCGCTGTACATTGACTCGGCAGCTTCTCACCACATGACTGGGAAAGCGAAGCTGCTGACTAATCTACAGCAATGTGCAACTCACGAGGTGGAACTTTCGGATGGGCATGTTATGAAAGGTGATCAATGGGGCTCACTGGTCTTGTTTGGGACCAAAGGGACCAAAATTGACGAAGTAGTATTTATACCAGGTCTAGAGAAGACCCTACTTTCAGTATCGAAACTTTCTCAG